TAAAATACCCACGTTTTAGAAACGTGGGTTATTTTTCCCAAACAATAACCCACGTTTCTAAAACGTGGGTATTTTTTCCCAAAAAATAACCCACGTTTTTCTAGGGGAGGAATTCGAAAAGGGGGATGTGCGCGTGGGTACCGGAGGGCCCAGGTTACAGCGTCGATGAACGGCGTCGACGTCCGTATTGTCTTAATTTCCTTACTACTTGTCCCCCTTACTACAATCGAAAAACAAAATTAACTGGATTGAATTACTGTATGCAGTATCGAAATCGTACTACCGTTATTAGTACCGTTACGCACGTACTTGTACTCAACCAACTTGCGTAAGCATTGGCATAGTTCCGGTAGATGACAAAAAAGTATCGCAACACGATTTACGTTTTCGAAACTAATGTTCGGTCAGTCCAGGTCACCTCGTAGTACCTTGTACCGTATCGAAACGGTGTGAGTCTTCGTACTGGTTTCGGTACTTCATAGCAGAACCAAAACAGTGGGAAGACCTTGCACAATTGTCAATTGTACCTTTCAGCATTCTGTACCGTACTAAAGTAGGTTACGTTCAGGAATCGATGCAAATGACTTCGTACGTGCGCTACTGTACTTCACTACGCAGATGACGGTCTGAATAATTGTTTAAGGGTCGTATTATGAACGGCTCCAATTAAGTACGAATATTGCGTCATTTGCCACGTCCCTCCATCAAACTCGGCCAGGGGCTCATTTTGTATTGGTTCTTCCTAAAAACCAGACGAAACCATCGCTTTGAACATTCTTTCGTTTCCTGATCGATTTTGAAACAGGAAAACGATCGCTGAATATCATCAATAGCGCCGGTCCTACGCCCTACCGGTACCCCCAACCAAAGAGCAAGTCTGGTAAAAATACAAGAAAAGGGGCAAACGATCATGTGTAGGCTTGACAGCGGTCTGAAAAGCTGTGATATTCATGCGGTGTGCCAAGATCGGAATTGTTCTGTGAAAACAATCCAAAAGTTCGTTTCCAAATACGGGGTAAAAATCCTGAAAAAACAAGACGTATACGGGCGAGTAGTAAGTATTGAGAACTGCGCGGCCCTCGTTTTCTCCTGTTGCATCGCCGTCGATTATCTCACTCTTCATTTGATATGTTGTGCTACGATACTCACTATTTGTTTGGTGTGATTGCATGGACGGTTTCGGACAGTCATTGTTTTACGCCCTCCGGAAACAATCCTCCTTGTCCGTGGTCAAGTCTCTGTTCGACTTGTGTCCCAGCGCTCTCCTCCAGAAAGACTTTTGTGGGGAGTTGCCTTTGTACATGCTATTCCGTCCGAATGCCGATTATCGCATCCTCGAATATGTGTTGGACAGAGACCCATCGCTGGCACTGTACGAGGAGAAGCGGTTTTCGGGGTCGCAGTCGCTTTTGCAGAGGCTTTGTAACCAGTGGGCGAGTACTATTAAGGGACAAAGATCGGCTTCGTCGGTTCGAAGCAACAGCGATGGCAATGGTGGCAACAGCGTCGTGTTGAGCCACGAAGAGATTCGTTCCGACAACGCACTGTGCAACCAGTGGGCCAAACTGGTTTTGACGGTCCGCGCTGTCCACCGCATTGCTCATGGCACAGCAACAAAAGTTACGGAATTTGACGAGGAAGTAGTAAGCAATGCTATGAAAAGCGACGAACTCCAACGTTTCCCGCCGAGGCAGTTATCATTTGAGATTCCAGAACTTCACATGGCGATGCAGCTTCCATTTCTACCGCCGGGAATCGTTTGCCAATTCATCGAATTATATCCAGAACAGGCCTCCCTACCAATTGAGAATGTAATTCAATCGACCAACAATCTACTTGACAATGAGGATCCCGGAGAAGGACGTGAAAGCCATCTCGTCGGAACCCCGAGTGCCAAACGTATCGCAGGAAAAATGCTCCCCCTGCACTTTTTCCTTTCCGACTACTCCGCGATGAAGCCGACACCGAATAGACCCGTGGAAGGGACAGGCGCCCACAAATTATTGAGCCAATGCCAAAAACGAGCCGGAATTCTGCGGGGTCTCGTTGGCACCTTTCCACGGGCAGCTACGCTGCGACAGAAGCACCAGTGTTGCGACCGTGGAGTTCTTCGCAGCTGCCGCTGTTTTCCAATTCACGTCGCCATTGCCCGGGGAATTCCCTGGGAATGCGGCCTGAGGGAACTAGTGTATGCCAATCCGTCCGGTCTGAGCATAAGGGATGAGTGTGGGACCAAACTATTGCCCTTTTTGCAACAGGCCCTGGCCGCAGCAACATGCTACAAACCTCTGTACGAACCAACCGAAGACGGAGATCGTTATCGATTTGTATGCAAGGAAGAGAGCAACCTTTCGGTTTTCAATACAATATATTGCCTCCTTCGAGAGAATCCATCGGTATTGACGCCGTAATTTTTGTTTGCTCTATTGCGAGGCGGAATGATGTTCTTGGGTCATGTAGCGTATTGCCAACTTCGGTTCTGTCTGAGATGAAAACATGCGATCCCATTTTTTCCTTTTCTCCAACAATATCCGACTTTTTAAGTTGACATCATCGTCATGGTGGTAGATCAGACCCTGGGATTTTCATCAGTGCTCTTCTTCCTTCACCTTCAAAATTTTGACAAATAAATTGTGATAGTAATATTTTGTTTGATTTTATGAAAACATGGCTCTCATCTGATACAGTGGGTGATTCCCGTTATTATAGAATCGTAAATGTGCTAAATCTAGGAGTTTGGCACTTCTGTAATAACGGGAATAAAAAAATCAACGGACAGACTGAGAGCAAGCCAGCCCTCATTTCAGTCTTT